AGAAATCTCTCTTTTTTGTCCATATAATGGAAATGCACACAGGTTTGGAGCAAAATATGATGGGTGAGTTTCATTTTTGTGTGAAAATATAGATATAAACATACCTAATCAGCTTTTTTAGATACTGAGTTGAATCCTTGATAACAAAGATGTAAAATCAGCGCTGAAAATCTTCTTAAATATTTAATATAATAAGAAAAATTAAAAACATTTAATTAACAAATTACAGTCTCATTTTCCCCACATTTCAGCTACAGTGCAGCGTTTGTAATGGCTCTGTTCAGATTATCTTTGTTTTTAATGCAGTAACAGTTGAATTCTAAAGCAGAGGCTACATACTATCAGTTAACTGTGTGTTACACAAACCACCCACTGTTAAGACTCTGAAGCGACATATAGCACAAGTGACACATTGACAGCCCCTTTGCACTGAGGAGAAATGTGACCACATCTTGTGTCTGTGTTGGATGTGTATTGTGTAAAAGAGCTGGCACAACAAGATAGTCTGCTGCGTTTCAGTCTGTGCTGAGGGAAGAGTTAATTCACTTCTGTCGAGTCACATCACAAATGCATGCTGGGAGATCTAGCTGGGCTATTGTTTCCATAGATACATCTACTGGTCTCCACCGGACTGAGACGACGGATACACATGGGAATTAGTAATGGGTGATTATCATAATTCTCAATAAATTGGATTAATTGCTGCTGTATGAACCAGAGCATGTAGAGTAAATTAGTCTAACCATTGTCGTAATGTGTCATCTGCTCATACATACACAGATCATGTGCTTTAGGTTCTTACCTTTGGTGTAAACATGTGGATGATGCCATCAATAGAACCCTTGAGCAGGAAAGCACGAGCCAGGAAACAAATAAGCACCACGTAGGGGAAGAGAGAGCTGAAGTACATCACCTGCAATTAGACATATCCAAACAGGGTATCAAAAAATGTCAATGTAAAACATTAAACACAAAAATTACATTTGTAGTACTGCAATAATAACACACAGAAGGCCAGTGACTTCTGTTATGAATGATCATTTGCCTTTTTTTGTGTGTTTCTTAAACTGTAAAATCCTTTCTTACTCATTGGGGGCGGAAAAGTGCCCTCACTTGCTAACTTTGCTGACAGAGTCGACAGGCTTTTTTCATAGTGCATCCAATTGTAATTTGTTTTTCAAACCTTTACATTTGTTACATTTTCATACCTCGACAATCCATCATTTTGCAAGTGTAGACATCAGATCCGTTTGTTCAAACAGTGTAGTGAATTTTTTTTTTTTATCACAATACACATCTAATTTTGAATGACTCTTAATGAAGAAAGATGATTTTTTT